GTCTACTACTGTGTGTGTGTGTGTGTGTGTGTGTGTGTGTGTGTGTGTGTGTGTACATGTGTGTGTGTGTGTGTGCAGACCATAGCTAAATAACACGTTAATACCAAATTGCCGATTTGAAGATAAGAGCAAAGTAACGTGCGCTTGCCTCTCAAAAGAACCGATGCCGTTTCCTCCAGTCTTTCGGGACCTACATCTCCTTTTCTGCTGTTTCAAGAAAGTTTGACATCTGCAGCACAGTTTGAGCTGCACTCTCCTAAAAAAATTAGCAATGAAATTGCACCCTTTATGATTCACAACTGTACACGAAACGTTCTGGAGGGTTGTAATGATATTTACATTATAATTGCAAATATATGTAAGCAGCAGTTGCACAGTCCAACAAAATTCGTCATCTCTGCACAAGGGCTATACCTGGCCATCGTGGTCACTTAGATCGTAGATCCATTGGCTCAAGCATTACGCATCCTGTTTATGGTGAACTCCCGTCTATTGTGACGATTTTCCTCAAACCCCTTAAGTGGTCACTATGGATGGGTTTGACTAAACACACTCATACTATGGATGAGTTGGAGTTGTGTCGGTAAACACAAACCTGAGACTGTGGAGTGACCTGCTCCTCTAAAGCTGTTGCCAGGCCCAAGGCACCTGCCACCTGGTCGATGTTGTCCAGACTCTGAACTGGAATCCTTGTCAGTGAGTTAATGAGCCCGTCACGTGCCTGAGAAGTATGGAAAATAGGAATAGAGTGAAACAGTAGAAGCTGAGCAATCATTCTTCTAAACAAGAAAAGGGGGGTGCTATATAAGTGGCTTAATGAACTTCAGGTTTTATATTGTTCTAATCAACCATCGTATAGTACGACAACTGGCAAGTGACAAGCTTCCTTCAATACCCGGTACTAACAAATAGTAGTTCGGCGATTTTACTATCATAAGGGGCATCTTATGGTGGACAGGTCTGTAACAATAAACTTCATTTTCAGGGTACCTTTGAAAGTGAATCGTTGCTGTAGCTGGACGCGTTCGCTGCGTTGAGGACAGAACTAAGACTGTTGGTGAGCTGCAGGAGGCCGTGGTTGTCCCCTTTGTGAAGTAGGTTCTCCAGCGTATCGTTAAGGCTGTCCAGTGCCACTGCCGTATCTTCCACACTCGGTGGACGGACCTTACAACAGAAATATGGAAAAAAAAGATTTGAAAAAATGTTTTGGGCGAGTAAGATGTAAGTGTTTCAACAATTTTTTAAAGCTCTGTGATCACTGTATATAAATTCAGGTCGAGCTTCAGCCATCATCAGTCGACTTAAATTATTGTAACGCTACTTTCACAACGAAATTAAACAAAAACCAAGAAACTCTGACGCAATTGTGTCGAGTCCACTCTTTCTAGTTGGAGTGAAGTTACACTCGTCTTCATAACAAAACTCTCCTATTAGAAATTACCCTTGAATGGTTGACATTCGGAATAAACTTGCACATAAATCTCACATCACATCATCTTAACATCACAGCTTCAAATTTACCTGTACTTTGATATTTCTGATAACTGATGTTGCACCCAAAGCATCCGATACACGAACTTCTAGTGTGATGTTGAAGTCGCGATGTTCCTGTCCTGTTGGAAGCAGCTGGGGTGGAAATCGCTCGGTCTGCGGTGGAAGTAGAGAATTCGTCAAAGATACTCAATTACATTTAGACAAAAAAGGATAGCTGTCTATCCTATCCGCTTGCTTCTCACACTTTAATGCCACACTTACACCAAAAAAACAACTAGGTTTTGAAACAACATCGTGCATGGCTACCATTGGTAGTAAAGCGTCAAAAGACGGAAACAACTGAAGCATTATTGTCGGATTGCGTACCATTACAGTTAAGATTACGGCAGGTTCTACGTTCGAAGGTAAGGCCAGAAATGTTAACCTGAACAATATTGCTATGTAAAAATCTATGGTAAATGAATACACGAATGACGAATGAATAATATAGCACCCGGAAAACGTAAACGAAGGGCTAGTTAGATAATCATTGTAGTCTACACTACATAAGAAGAGGTGGTTATCTACCGTTCCCGTATGGAGCAATGTGTCACTCCCATCGTTGTTAAAATAAAGACTGTAGACCAGAGGCAAGTCATCATCACGGGCTCCTGAGGAAGAAACCAATCGCAACCTGTATTGATAGTATTGTGTATATGCACCATTTCAGAATACTTAAATAGCAAAATAATTTGTGCTGAACTTTTTGGGCTTTGATTTACCTTCGCACGAGATGTCAAACTGCGTTATCGTTGAATCGCCTGACGGAGGACGGACCGCACAGGACCCGACAGTAGGGGGTTTGTTGACCCTGAAACTGTACTCAGAAAAACCGGTTCCCCCAGGCACGACGTCGGAGGTCACATCTACCCTGAAGGTGTAGCTTTCTCCTGCCTGGAAATAAACAAGATAGTTAAATAAAAAAAGTCTAGACTATACTATCTGTTAGAATTGTATTGATCATGTTGTTACTGACTGACTGAATGAATGAATGTACTAATACTAGTACTAGTTCTAGTTGAGTAAGGATAATGTTAATGAATGCGTATCGGAATTTACCTCAAAAATGTTACTGCGAACCACTAGGTTCTGTGACGTGTTTCCGGTTGTCGTGTCCACATCCCAGTCAATGTGCTTTCCTCCCACCAGGGTCCATAGGTATGTGGTGCTTGCTGTCGGGCAGTCGTCACACTGGGTCACGAGAACTAGCCTCTCCGATGGGTTGACTTTGGTTTCACAGTTTGCCGCACACCTACGGGATTACCAAAAAGTACCCCTAAAAACACTGACGGACGTCACGCATCATTTATTATCAGTTAAGATACTGCATATATGTCCATTTCTGTGTATATGTAGCACGTATTCTTTTAATATGCATCGTCTTGTTATGCGTTTCCCATACCTGGAATAAAGAATCAATGAATTAATGTACACTCCTTGTGAGATGGCCAGCTGCATATCTTCTTACGTCAAAGCTTTTGGGCGATAAGAAGCCAAGTAAGAAGAAGCACACCTTAGCTCTATAATGCAGAAAGTACGTCTTACCGAATGGCGATGTTGAGGACAACCCCGTCTAGTAGGGTGACTGACTGTGAGGTTTGTGAGGAGTTCCTCCCGGGAAGGCCGACCTCGACCGTGAATGTCAAGATTTCATCAGGAAATGACGCAGTCTGAAGTTTTTCATAGACGGCACTTTGTCTGGCATCAGGGAATATGTCTTTGCATGATGTCCCTGCAAAAACAGTTATCGAGTTTTAGTGCTACCATTTAGTACGTCTATTTCGGATACCGCTACCGATCATGGCTGCCATATAATATCAATAAAAGTTGACACGTTAAGTTATGATTTAAGAGTCACGATGAGAGACTTACCATTGGGCGTCTGACAGGTCCAATGAAAAGTGAAGTTCCTGTAGTCGTCGATGTACTCATCCGGATCATACGACTCTGATGCGTTCAGTACCAGAACACCATCCCGACTGACAGATTTAGCAGAGCCACCGGCTATATGCGCAACTGGGGCCGATGGTGTGATGATAATCCACTGTTTTTGGACCTGTGACTTTTTGCTTCCAGTAGTCGGGAAGTCCATGGTAGCGTTCAGCTCAACAATCGTGGAGCCATAGCCCAAGCTGTTTCTCATAATTGTGATGTCTTGCGAATCACGCACAACTTTGTTAGGAAAGTCCAGTGGCTGTGTTACATTACTCATTGGGTTATGTTGAAAAACGTTCCACTCATACGTGACGCTGTAGGTCTGATTGCAGATGACGTGTATGGCTTTCTATTACGGTCAAAACTCAACTACGACGTATTACAGCCAACTACGGCGTATTTCAGGAAAGTACGGCGTAGTTCACCAAACTGGATCAGATACGGTTAAGTTAACCAAATACGGCGTACTGTCCTTTTGATCGTGCAATGCATGGCCATCCGCATGGTGCTTCGCATGCCCATCCTGCAGCAGAACGTGCAGATCTAGAATAGGACTGCACAGCCACGTGAGGACAGGCATTTCTAGATCTAGATCTTTGGACCTGAAGACCCAGCTATCATCATCGTCATCGCATGAAAGCGTTACTGGTGCGTTGCCAATCTTGTTGATCCGTGCATAGCTAATAACTCTATGTACGGAAGAAGTGAAGATAATAATGAAGGTCTGCTATACTGACCGACCTTGGAGAATGTAAAGAAATACACAAACTTAGCCAACACAAAATAGCAACTAACCAACGCATGTAGGCTGTGTACCGCTCCAGGTCTGGTTCGACTGGCATGTTCGTTCTTCATCACCACTAATCTCGTATCCAGGGTCACAGTGATAAGCAACGACGTCCTCATAAGAACTACCGCCGCTGATGTTGCCATTAGAAGGTACCATCAGTTGTTGGCAGAGCTTTCCTGTAACACATTTAAGAAACTATGTCAGAAAATTAATATCGTTTATGGAACAATAATATTATCACATACTACGACATGTACTAGAACACGTAAATTAATTTCCCTGGCTTGTAGTTATCATTGTCGCCAGCATTGTGATATCTAGGGCATGAACAGGAAACGGATGATACGTTAAGTACTATCAATGACCTGTATTAGCTAATGAAAACATTGCAAACAGATAATCAATTCCGATACAATACCATATGGTCGAAGGGGGCTACTAATACTTACTGGAGCAATTGGGCTGTACACCCGACCAGCTCTGGTCGGCCTGGCAAGTTCTGTTTTGAGAACCGATCAGTTCGTAGCCTTCGTCACAGGAAAGGGTGATTGTGTCTCCGTAAAGATGACCTTCTGTCCTGTTGCCGTTGTTTGGAAATGGCAGCTCTGGGCAGGCTTTTCCTAAAAAAACGCATAAGACCCTAAGTAGCTTTAGGTATGAAAGACTACGCGCAATTTGAGACAGATTGGTTGCCAATATAAGATCCTAATTAGCTCTTCAGACATATAGACCTATTTTGCCAATTTTTTTTGCCAAATACAATACCATAATGTCGAGAGCGGCCACGATCACTGGAGCTAGAGAACCCGAAAAGTACCAACCACTATGACCACGACACTGTCACAAATTATTACTTACTGTTGCAATTGGGCTGTACACCCGACCAGCTCTGGTTAGCCTGGCAAGTTCTGTTTTCAGAACCGATCAGTTCGTAGCCTTCGTCACAGGAAAAGGTGACTGTGTCTCCGTAAAGATGACCTTCTGTCCTGTTGCCGTTGTTCAGAACCGGCAGCTCTGGACAGGCTTTTCCTAAAAACGCATAAGATACTAAGTAGCTCTTTAAACATATGTATTGCCAAATATAGTACCATAATGTCGAGAGCGGCAACAATTACTGGAGCAAGAAAACACGAAAAGTACCGACCACTATATATATGACCACGACACTGTCAAAATTATCTGTCAAAATTATTACTTACTATTGCAAATGGGCTGTACACCCGACCAAGTCTGGTCGACCTGGCAAGTTCTGTTTTCAGAACCGATCAGTTCGTAGCCTTCGTTACAGGAAAAGGTGACTGTGTCTCCGTAAAGATGACCTTCTGTCCTGTTGCCGTTGTTTGGCAATGGCAGCTCTGGGCAGGCTTTTTCTGAAAAAAAAAAGAAAAACATAACTAAAGACCCTAAGTAGCTTTAGATATGAAAGGCTACGCTCCATGTCAGACAGATTTGTTGTCAAATACAAGACGAGTGGTCACTATGTACTGGAGCAATGAAACCCGACAAGGTACTATTAACTACCACTTTGAAAACAAAACTGTTAAAAATGGCCACTTACTGGAGCAATTGGGCTGTACACCCGACCAGCTCTGGTTGGCCTGGCAAGTTCTGTTTTCAGAACCGATTAGTTCGTAGCCGTCGTCACAGGAAGAGGTGACTGTGTCTCCGTAAAGATGGCCCTCTGTTCTGTTGCCGTTGTTCAGAAGCGGAAGGTCTGGACAGGCTTTTCCTAAAAACGCATAAGATACTAAGTAGCTCTTCAGACATATGTATGGCCAAATACAATACCATAATGTCAAGAGCGGCAACAATTACTGGAGCAAGAAAACACGAAAAGTACCGACCACTATGACCACGACACTGTCAAAAATTATTACTTACTGTTGCAATTGGGCTGTACACCCGACCAAGTATGGTCGGCCTGGCAAGTTCTGTTTTCAGAACCGATCAGTTCGTAGCCTTCGTTACAGGAAAAGGTGACTGTGTCTCCGTAAAGATGACCTTCTGTCCTGTTGCCGTTGTTTGGCAATGGCAGCTCTGGGCAGGCTTTTTCTTAAAAAAAAAAGAAAAACATAACTAAAGACCCTAAGTAGCTTTAGATATGAAAGGCTACGCTCCATGCCAGGCAAATCTGTTGTCAAATACAAGACGAGTGGTTACAATGTACTGGAGCAATGAAACCCGACAAGGTACTATTGCCTACCACTATGAAAACAAAACTGTTTTAAAAAATGGTCACTTACTGGAGCAATTGGTCTGTACACCCGACCAGCTCTGGTTGGCCTGGCAAGTTCTGTTTTTAGAACCGATTAGTTCGTAGCCTTTGTCACAGGAAGAGGTGACTATGTCTTCGTAAAGATGACCCTCGGTCCTGTTGCCGTTGTTTAGAATCGGAAGCTCTGGACAGGCTTTTCCTAAAAACGCATAAGGTCTTAAGTAGCTCTTCAGACATATGTATGGCCAAATACAATAATATAATGTTGAGAGCGGCAACAATTACTGGAGCAAGAAAACACGAAAAGTACCGACCACTATGACCACGACACTGTCAAAATTATTACTTACTGTTGCAATTGGGCTGTACAACCGACCAAGTCTGGTCGACCTGGCAAGTTCTGTTTTCAGAACCGATCAGTTCGTAGCCTTCGTTACAGGAAAAGGTGACTGTGTCTCCGTAAAGATGACCTTCTGTCCTGTTGCCGTTGTTTGGCAATGGCAGCTCTGGGCAGGCTTTTTCTTAAAAAAAAGAAAAGAAAAACATAACTAAAGACCCTAAGTAGCTTTAGATATGAAAGGCTACGCTCCATGCCAGGCAAATCTGTTGTCAAATACAAGACGAGTGGTTACAATGTACTGGAGCAATGAAACCCGACAAGGTACTATTACCTACCACTATGAAAACAAAACTGTTAAAAATGGCCACTTACTGGAGCAATTGGGCTGTACACCCGACCAGCTCTGGTTGGCCTGGCAAGTTCTGTTTTCAGAACCGATCAGTTCGTAGCCTTCGTTACAGGAAAATGTGACTGTGTCTTAGTAAAGATGACCCTCGGTCCTGTTGCCGTTGTTTAGAATCGGCAGCTCTGGACAGGCTTTTCCTAAAAACGCATAAGATCCTAAGTAGCTCTTCAGACATATGAATCCCCACATCTAGATAATTACCTTCGCTAAGAAGGTTATGTTTCAGAGGCGTTCGTGTATGTGTGTGTTTGTGTGCATGTCTGTAAACACGATAGGTGGGTAGAGAGACCTGGAAATGATAAGATTTTGGACCCCCGGCTTGTTTCATGATGGAACTGCAGCTGATCTTCCGGTTTTGATATCTCATGATCTAGACATGCTAGGGTGATGAAATTTGAATGGTAGGTAGCTCTTGTGCTAGGGAAGGAGTGACGTGAGCTTGGATTTTTAGTGGCTTGCTCTAAAACTGCAGGGCTATCTGTTTTAAGATATTCAAAAGAGGATAACTCAAGAACCGGTTGACAGATCATCGTGATTTTTGGTATGTAGGTATCTAACGTGATGCTGGATATAATCAGGACCTCATTTGCATAATTTATGAGGAAATGCTAGAATAACATTGTTAATATAACACTGTCTTTTGGTTGAGAATCTGATTAACTGATATAATTCATGAAAATGAGTATCCTATTTGTTCAATCAGTGCGACATAATCTATAATTTGTCAGTCATAAAGATTAACATCATTTGGCGAAGGTATGAGATCGGGGAACTCTAGTTTTCAGTGATATAACCACTGACCTTCACACCGGGTGCCATCTTCACTAAGAGATTGTCCAGCAGGGCAGGAGCACAGCACGTTGTTTCCGGGCGTGTCGATGTAGATGACCATCCGATCGGCCGTTGCAATATCACCCCCTGAATAAAGTAAAATAATGGAACAATTTAAGAAATCAGACAAGAAATCTTGGCTCAGACTCCTTTAGTTGTTTTAACATATTCATAGCAGCAGGTATAGCCACCTGAAAAATAGTCATTTTCCACATATTTTGGTCCGTAACAGAATCAGTTAACGTTAATTATAGCTGCTCCTGACCCTAACTCAATATTATCAGACTAGAAAGGCCGACATTTGCTTGGGAGCAAATATAGCATACATGTATTTCAGTCCACCAGGATGGTCGGCATATTCCATCGTCGTGATTGTAGATGACGTGATGATTTTAGATTCATAAGATTGAATGTGTGGGTCATTTCGCACGACTTACGTGCAACGTGACCCAGGTAACCCGCAATGTTCGACGTGTTCGTGCAGTGTTCGATGGCCAACGGCAGATGGAACGGGCCATTCTTTAGATCGAACGTAGAAAGGGTATAGCACTTTTGTCCCTTTTTTGGCTGAAAAAAGCCATTAAAGTCCCCCAAATGAGTCATTGGAAGTGGTGTATGCCAAATATGTGACTGCTATTCTGTAGACACACAGTTCAAGGTACCCTTATACCGAATTTCAGATCATTTGGTTTTAATACCAGGGCTCAGGATCCAAAAATCCATTTTTTGTCGAAAAATGCCCCAAAAAAACTTCATAAAAAATTTTCAAAGGCATGTATAAAAAAATGAAAAAAAAAACGCCTGGGGGTATTGGCCCACTCTAGCTCCATACCAAATTTCATGTTATTTGCCGGCTAAAAACTGACAGTTGAATCCATTTGACTGTGAGAAGAAACATGAGAGAACACAATAACGTTATATTTCATCCATACCATATGGTATGGACTGAAATATAATAAGAAAAGTCAACTTAGACATGGCCCATCTGCCAGGGAAATATATAGGGGTATATATTAAGTACTGCACGCACCGTTGAAGTTAGCGTAGCCTGTAGTTTTAGAAAAGCGGATGTAAGGCAGCTGATCTTCCGGAGCTCGCTCCCATTCGCATATGCCGTCTGGACCGCCGTCGGCCACCGCAAGCCAGCCAGCGTCATTGGGGCAACCACCCCAGTTGCGATTGATGTAAAAAAACCTGCAACAAAGGAAGCCGTGTTTTGATTAATACAATCAATTCCATTGACATAATAAAGATTTACTGCGATTCTTGTAATTCCATGCAAAGGATAGAAAGGCCTTAATACGAAGTTTATCACCTTTGAAAGGCTCAAGATTTACCTTTTCGCATGTGGGGCTCCTTCGATCGAGAAGAAGTTTTGAGGCTCGGTGTTGATGTCGTTCCAAGGAGATGAGAGCAGACGAGACTTGTTGAACCAGTTGAACTTGTCAGTGTTTGTGCCATCAAAAATCAGCTCTACATTTCCTTCGGAGTACTCCAACACAACCTTCACCTGCAAAAGACAATTTTACTTCCTGTGCCACTAACAAAATCGCCCCTCATTTTTTAGTTATATGCAGTTTTACTTATTGATAACAGATTTAGCTGCTTAAATCTAATTCTGTTGGTCAAAAATGCTATTCATTTTAATGGCTGTGTTACGCGTAAGTGATCTAGCTGACGGAAAACTAAAAGTATGGACATGTGACAAAACAAAGCACAGTAATTACCACACGGGTCTAGTAGAAACTTACCCGTTGGATGTTAAGCGATTCCCATTGGTCTACAATTGGGCACTTGTTGTGGCTGACTTGTCCATTAGTACTCCAGGCGTCGTAAACAGTCTGCCCTGTTCCTTTCAGAGTTGAAAAAACGTCTAGCCATTGAGGATTGTCTGTAAAGACGGGAAAGGTACCAGATATCGATCTTCAAACATTTTTTGTTACTCTACTGCATTCTTTTAAATGCATGCACCCTATTATTATCGAGAACTTGTAAGTTGTACATGTACCCAATGACATTATACACACAATGTCCTTGATGTACCCAAGTCGGCCAATGGACCGTTTCATAAGCCACGCCCCCCTTAGCAACGCCCTAGCAACTCGAACACCTCCGTCAAAATCAGCGCGAGAAGGTGTTGCATTCCAAAATGTGTTATTCCAAATCATGATTTGGAATTGAACACGTTTTGGAATGCAAGAAAGGGCCGTACCGACTGCCGCCGCCAGAATGTCGGATTTGCAGCCCAACTTTACGGTCGATTTTTAATTTTTCGGCAGCGAAAAAAAACGCCTGGGGGTATTTGCCCACTGTACTTCCATACCAAAATTAAACGTAAACTGATGACGACATCACTTTACGTTTATGCCAGATGATGTACAACGTAAACTGATGACGACATCCCTTTAGGAACAAAATTTTTAAAGAAACCCTTAGGATTATCACCCTATGGGGATCAATGTGACTCAATTCGAAGCGAAGAAAAACGAATTTATATGTTTAAGTTTAGGGGGAAATCTATGAAATAACTGAAGAAAACTATAGTTCTATTCTCAAGTTTTTTTTAACTAGGCAATGAGAATTTTGTCCGTACTACTTTGTATCCTGGTGTCGCCCATTAATATTGTGTTATGCGGCATTTACATTCATTCCAAACCACACAACACGAATTGATGACGTCACAAGAACACGTCTACCTGACTGTTGAAATGGACGAAACCATAAGCAATGGATGGGGGTAATCAATTTGTTACCAAAAGTCAGCGAACAGCACCTACACTCTTAGGAGTCTATGTGACGTCGGAACATATTATACATATCGGAACATATCAACATAATGTTAAGTACGTACGTACCCAAGTAACGTGGTGCGTTTTGATGCGTTATGCGATGTTCATACTTTGCGTTAACATAACGTAACGTAACCTACGTTATGTCAACATAACATAACCTACGTTACGTTACCATAACATAATCTTAGGTTATATCATACGTGAACGTTGTCTAGCATAAGTAACGTATTGACCAAAAAAAATGTGACGAATTGACCCCGAAACGTGACGTTTTTAACGTCCGTATTTTTGACACAAACATGATGCCCAGTCAATAACCCACGTACGTGTCATACGTACGTGACGTACTGATACGTTATGTATCTTAATTTTTGTGTCAAAATAACATAGGTTATATCAAATGTTATGTCCACGTAACGTTAAATTTAACATAACGTAGGCTAACGTTAACGTAGTTATCACGTTATGTTAAACGTCATGTTAACGTTATGTTACCGATACGTTAACGTTATGTTAACGTTAACGTTAAGTTATCGTAACGTATGTACTTGCAAACTTTGTCGAAAGACTGATATAAAAAGGCAGTTGTGTTTGAAACACCTTTATATCTTGTGTTGTAAAACTGTTGAATAAAACAATGCTAACTAGAAAGGCCGACATTTGCTTGGGAGCAAATACAGCATATTTCAGTCCATCTCCCTCCCACGCAAAAGTGGACTATTCCAAACTTACCCCAGTGCAAAACTGGCAAAGGTTCTCAAATAAATGAATTAAATAGTAGCTATATGAGAACAAAGATGCAAGAACAAGTAGTTTGAATCTCGTAAGCTTTACTAATCTTATTACAGGTATGCAAATACTAACAATGATGAGATTTGATACATTTTGAAGGTCTTAGGCACATAAAATTGAATGCGTGGGTCATTACAAAAATTACGCACGACTTAGGTGCAATGTGACCTCAGGTAACCCACAATGGAACATGTGTTCCATGGATGGAACGGGCCATTCTTTGGATAGAACATGGAACGGGCACAGCACTTTTGGCCCATTATTTGCTGAAAATAGCCATTAAAGTCCCCCAAATGAGTCATTTGGAAGTGGTGTATGCCAAATACGTGACTGCTATTCTGTAGACACATGTTCAAGGTACCCTTATACCGAATGTCATATCATTTGGTTGTAATACCAGGGCTCAGGATCCAAAAATCCATTTTTGTCGAAAAATGCCCCAAAAAACCTTCATAAAAATTTTTCAAAGGCATTTATCAAAAAAATGAAAAAAATGCATCTGGGTGTTGGCCCACTCTACCTCCATGCCAAATTTTGGGTCATTTGGCTGAATGATGGCGGAGTTGAATCCCTTTGACTGTTTGGCAGGAGAAGGAGGAGAAACATGAGAGAACACAATATATTTCATCCATACTGAAATATAATGACGGATTTCACAAAACCTACCTGTTTCACATATGTATCTGTAGCTTTGGCCGCATGGTGCGTCCGCCCACTTGTTTCTGCGTTCACTGTTGGACATTGCTCCGAACACAAGATGAGAACAAAGGTTTGTAGGCAAATTGGGCTCCCCAGGTGCCCAGGCAGAGAATCCGCCGAGCGCGCTACCCTGGCTGTCAACCCACGTTCCGACTGGTCTACTGACTCCGAGCCAAAACTGAGCATTTCTGTAAGATGCCATGAGAAAAATAACATTTCCCTTTTACACCCGTTTTGTACTGTTTTGATACAATGTTTCACGGTGAATGTTGTTTCCTAAGGTATTTCCAAGTCTTAGAGAGGAGGAGAGTGTGCCTCAGTATATAGTACTAGTGTGTAATGGTCAAGTGGGTAGAATGCTTAGAGTATGGGAGTTACACACATATAGCTGCTGTAGAGATGCTGTACACCCCCATGAAACTCCTTCCTCTTCGCCCCCGCCGTTCTGCTTCGCCCCCGCCCCGTTCTGCTTCGCCCCCGCAAAAAATCTGCTTCGCCCCCGTCGTTCCTCTACGCCCCCGGCGCAATTCTGCTTTGCCCCCGTCCTTCTGCTTAGCCCCCAATGGCGGCACAGCTCACAGTCGACACGAAAATCGTCTGCAAAATAACAATAAAGGCTGTGCCGCCAAATTTAAAGTAGCCCATGCTCCGGCAAACATTCTGGACCACCTTTCTGCGAAGTGGCGTTGCACAAATCCTTCCCATTCAAAAGTTTACCCCTACCTCACGGCCCGTCAGTGGTTCTTACGTTTATAAGTACTGGCGGGAAATTTCACTCACGGCTGTACTTATAAACGCCAGTACTTATAAACGTAAGAACCACTGACGGGCCGTGAGGTAGGGGTAAACTTTTGAATGGGAAGGATTTGTGCAACGCCACTTGGCAGAAAGGCGGTCCAGAATGTTTGCCGGAGCATGGGCTACTTTAAATTTGGCGGCACAGCCTTTATTGTTATTTTGCAGACGATTTTCGTGTCGACTGTGAGCTGTGCCGCCATTGGGGGCGAAGAAGAACGGGGCGGGGGCGAAGCAGAACGGCGGGGGCGAAGAGGAAGGAGTTTCATGGGGGTGCTGTAGAGTTGATGATAAGTACTCTCTGTGGCTAAATTTTTAATCATATTTAATCTTTAACTTAACTGCTCATGTACAATATACTATATGGTGTAACAGTGATTAAAACATGATTCTTACTGGTTTAGACAGTTCTTGAAAAACACAAGATACGCCTGCTCGTGCGAGTCCAGCGGCAGAGCGACCGTTCCTCGCTCCGCGGCACATCTCGCCTGGGCCGTGGCGTAGTCGACCTGCTCGTCGGATGGCGCCACGTACCTTTTGCCGTTGGGGAGACTGAGGTGACCATTTGTTGGACAACTCGCAGGAAGATCCCAACCTGCATTTGGATCACAGTTGCCAAATACAAGACGAGTGGTCACATGTACTGGAGCAATGAAACCCGACAAGGTACTAGTCCCTATAGCTACCACTTGCACTGTGAAAACAAAACTGTTAGAAATGGCCACTTACTGGAGCAATTGGTTTGTACACCCGACCAGCTCTGGTCGGCCTGGCAAGTTCTGTTTTCTGAACCGATCAGTTCGTAGCCTTCGTCACAGGAAAAGGTGACTGTGTTATTAATGAGCACGTACTACTTACCGCATTGATACTCAGCCCTGCTGGCCTGTCCGAAGACTGTGATGTTAGTTGTATCCCAGTCAATCACGTTGCCATGGTAACTACAGTCCGCTGCTATTTCTGCTGGAGACAGCACGCGGTCCCAGAGGTTCACTTCCGACAGTTCTCCAATGAATGACTGGTCTGCATCGAATCCTCCCCCGACTACGTCTTGATCCTGACCGAGGATCCATGTGCCGCCTGTGCGCACTCTTCCTCCCACTCTAAACCCGGAACCTGAATCCGTCAGCACGCCGTCAGCGTAGAGCTGCCAGGCTCCATCACTGCTGCGCCAGGTAGTACATATCGTGTGCCACTCACCGTCCAAAACGGGTGGGTCCGTCATTTGGATGTTGCTTTGTAAGCTTAACTAAATAAAAAAAATGGCATGAGCTGATTAATATTTCAAAATATATATTTCACTTTATATAATGGTAAGGATGATATATACATGTTTCCCCTCATGTTGGTCTCCTACTGCCATTTTGTTAAATGGATTAATTTTTGTCATTTGTTTTATCCACATGACCTGAAATTTCGTATGTAGGTAGAGTGGGCAAACACCACTAGCTTTTTTTAATTTTTTTTCATGCAAGCCTTTAAAATCGTCTTCCATTCTAGTCACAATTTCATTTGTTACGACATAGAATAAATCCTTGTGGTTGACTTTGGATACAAAACTAGATATCGACCAAGCAATAGCAAGCAATAAAACAGGTTGATTTAGACAGCAGAAGCCTAATATTAGAATTGATTGTGTACTTACCTTAAATCCACCATCAACACGAAAGAAAAGCTCGTTGTTGTGTTGTGACACTGCGTAGCTGACCAAGCTGAGTACATCGCTGGAATCCATGTTGGAGCGCATGTGCACACATAGGGTAAAGCTTGTCAAGTCCTCAGACAACGTTGGCTCCATCCTGGCATAGTCATCAATGCCTCTTGGACCGGGGAAGATGATCTTTCGTGAGTGGCCTAGTACAACATGTGACTTTGTTAAACAAGGCACGTGTGACAATGTAGTTTGGTAGTCGCAAAGAAATTTACAGCTTAAAGTCACAATCTGCAAGATTCAGGCGGAGAAAGAAAGTACAGTGCAGACAATAGAGGTCTTATCT